TAAGTTATCTTAACAAAAATAACACTTAAGGCAGTTGTCACCTTTGTTTTCTCAGGACAGCCATTACAATCTTATTCATAGATATTTGCTCAGAACCAAAAATGTAAGATTAATATTTAAGCCACTTTTAACAGCGAAGATTAAGTCTTTTATAAATATCTTCTAGAATACTTTGTATTTGGAGACAGCAAAAAAGGTGATTAAAAAACATCAGACAGCTAAGTGTGGTGGAGTCTCAGGTGCTTGTGAGGCTAAGGCAGGGGGTGGCTTCAGTACATAGGTTCAGTGAATGAATGAACAGGTTCAAGGTAATAGTATGCTAGGATCACAGCTATGATCGCACTGTGAATAGCCACTGCACTCCAGCCTGGGCAACATAGTGAGACCCGGCACTTCACATCTCCCTTGTCCTCTCACACTTTCTTTATATATCATGTCCCAATAAAAGTATATTTCATTATTTTACTTTCTTTTGAAGGGTCCCTCTATAGTTTATCTGAAGATGATGTATGCTCATGAGCTAAGGCAAAACATCAAAATGATGAAATGCTTTCTAGCTATTATCCTCTGAAAATAGGTCTTAACATTTCAAAGCTGAAGGGACAGAGAACAACTTGGCCAGTGACTTTTATAGGGAACCCTTGTTCAAATAAAACCCTGCCCAAATGCTCAGTATACAAAGCAAATGGAAATGAATATGTTTCTGATAAAAGAAAGGTAGGGAGCTCAATTCTTTCTGTTAGGCACTCTCCTTTTCTATCCCAATCAAGTTAGAAAATTACTGACTTAAGTAAAGTCCTTCTTATTTTATAGATGAGGAAACTAACAGGCCCATAGAGGTTAAGGAGCTGAGTGAGTCCTGATCACCCAGTCAGTATTATATAGCAGATCTAGAACTCAAACTTCCAACATCTTCCTATCTACTTAGGAACTTTTCAGTGTATCATAACTGTATCTTTAGAGAATATATTAATTCAACTCAGTGTGGCAAAAAGGAGTGGTATAAGAGAAATAGTACAGCTGACCTTTGAGCAACAAGAGTTTGAACTGTGCAGGTCTACTTTTACGTGGATTTTCCTTCCCTCTGCCACCCCACAAACAGCAAGACCAACATGTCCTCTTCCTCAGCCTACTCAATGTGAAGATTATGAGGATGAAGACCTTTATGATGATCCACTTCCACTTAATACTAAATATATTTTTCTTTCCTATGATGTTCTTATTAACATTATCTTTTCTCTAGCTTGTTGTAAGAATACAGTGTATTAATGCATCTAACATACAAAACGTGTTAATCTAACATGTAATCTTTACAGTAAGGCTTCTGATCAATAGTAGGCTATTAGCAGTTAAGTTTTGGGGGTGACAAAAGTTACACATAAATTTTCAACTAGGCAGGTGTCAGCTGGTGCTCCTAACCCCCTCATTGTTTAAGCATCTATTGCAATTTTTTTTTTTTTTTTTTTTTGAGACAGAGCCTCAAGCTGTCCCCCTGGGTAGAGTGC